GCAGGCCTGCCAGTCTTGCCGACCACTCCCGTGGCATAGCCGGCGGACGATAGCTCCCCTTTATACCCCGAATGGCGTAGTCCTGGAAACCGAATTCTGGCTGTCCTGCGGGGACATCGATTTGCGAGCAATTTGACACTGGCAGAAAAAAGGACTTCCAGTCATTGGGCGCAATCAGTAGGGTACGATTTGTTGCAAATGTATAGGACAACTTCCAAGCCACGGTGTGTGCAGTACATCCATATCCACAAATCGGTTCATACTTCGAGTTGCCCAGCGCGAAGTGAGACCGATTGCAGTCAGGCGGGTTCTGCAGCCTTGAAAGCCGACTGCGGAATTCTGCACTTAGCGCATCCACCGCTTGACGTCTTCTTTCACGATGACCACTGAGTTTTTCCAGGAGAGTCATTCTGGCAGTGAGCTGTAGTGTGGCTTGAGACAACAGGCTGTGCAATTTTCCTGCTAGTGGGGATGTTTGATTGTGGACTGTGCGGAATTGGGCATTACTCAGTCTCCAAACTTCGGTAAGGATAAAGCGCGCCTGTCTGAAGAGCGCATCGGTATTGGGAAGTTTTCCTGGCCTGGTGGTATAACGCTCGTGCGGTACAATCTGCACGCGTTGTTTGGGCGAGATAATTCCTGAGTAGAAGCGAAGACCCAAAAGAAGGCATAAAATCAGGATCGTGATACAAAGGCTGCGAAGTATTGCTTTATCAGTCCTCATGTGATTTTGAGAGAAACACTGACGAGTGTAGGTTGTGGCTTTCTGGTCTCACTTGCTGCCAAGGCAAATGCCTACTGAGGTCTTCTTGTGGTCAGCCTACGCTCCTGCTGATTTGACCGAATAGTAAGCTGCCGAGAGTGCACATCCGCATTCTTTCACTGATTGGCTGCGTCCGTTAAAGGACACGCCTTAAGGTCAATGTACTATAGATCGAAAGCACGAAGGACGGGTTTTGGGAAGAGACGGTGGTGTAGCTCCACTTGTTGTTTTTTTGAATTTCGGAGTGGGAATTCTTTCTGTCCATCATCCTAATATTTTAACAGGGTAGTACTTCAGACGTGACGTAACTGAAAAATATGCGCATTATGCTTATATAACACTGCTTAAATTGTCCTTTTTTTACCGCATACGTTTGATGGCCCTCATCACTTCCTCACTGATCTCCTTACGGTCACTCGTGCGCTCTACTGGCAGTCACACACGGGCAAGTGATTAAGGCTAGAGAGTTAACATTGAACAGTTCTGGTGATCGGCATTGATGCCCAAGTAATTAAAAATATTACACATTTATTCAACGAGCGTATGTGTCATATCCCTAGCCACATAAAACTTCATTTTAACGAATTTCTGAGGTGGCACGAGTGTGAATACTTGTCTCTTGGTGAAGGATAATGTGTTAGCGGATTTTTATCAAGATTACACGCTGGTGTTCGTTGCAATCGATGCTTGAACTATTCTGTGTGTATGTTTGTGGAGACGGATTGGCAATCAAAATACAAGCATTGAAGCTCGTTGGACTTGAAGTTCGAACTGTTTTGTGTGTTACGGGGGATTTAAATGTTCTACCCTCCGCACTAGAGATTATCGCCATGTTTTGTGTGAGCACTGGCTGCGAATGTCGAAACACTGGCCCCCTCCCCTCAAATCCGTCTACTCTCTCTTTAAATTATACCCACATTTTTGCCCTGATTGGTTGCAAGTGTAAAAGGACACACCTTAAGGTCAAAATAATCTAGATTGCAAGCACGTATGACGGCATGTCGGGAGAAACGGCACTGTAACTCAACCTGCATTTTTTGAATTTCGGCCTGGTAAACCCTTCAGCTCTTCATCCTAATATCCACACAAAGCACCATTTCAGACGTGACTCCACTGAACAATTGAGAGATTATGCTTATACAACGCTATTTAAATTGTCTTTACTAACACCTTTAATGGCCCTCACCGATCCCGTTACGGTCATTCGTGTGCTCTACTAGCAGTTACACAGAGGCTAGTTATTCAGGTTAAGGAGTATATACCGACTTGTTTTGGTGATCGATGTAGATGCCCATGTAATTACAAACATTGCGCATTTATTCACCTCAACTGGCGGTGGCTTGCGAGGGAATTAGTTGAGAGTCAGATCTGACTTTCGCTGTATCTATCGCACACGCTCATCTCCCACATCTGGGTCTGGCTTCAGAACCAATTAAAAAGTATTCGAAGGCAGGAGAGGGCGCAGGGGACTGTCGCAGCTGTTATACACACATAAACGTTACGGAACAAAGAGTCAACCTCACATAATAAGTTTTTTTTAAATCCAAACGAAAGGATGAGTAAAACTGTTGAACCATTCCTTATGTCATAGTTCCTCAGGTAGCAAGAACCTTCAGGACTTAGGCCATCACATTTCAGAGTTTGTTTATATTTCGGGATCCGTTATTTTCCCATTTGCCTGTTCTTCATGCTCCAAGTTTCTTAAAACTTGTAGATTGAATTGCTCGACGCGTTTGCGTCGAAGTACAAAAATCTAACAAGTCAACCATCGATTTAACGGGCTGATGAATCCAGCCTCTCCTAAAAGCCAGCTTTTCCACGTCACCAAACCATGCGTGCATCAGGCTATAGCATAATTATTATAAATATGCTGTGATCTTCTTTACAGTTGATGGTTCGCCTATTGCAAACATATGTTACTGAATGCCTCATCGGTAGTGTAACGGCCTTAAGGTTACCCTTGATACCTGCCATCAGCTACAAAGAGGCAAGTAATAAATGTAGAATGAGATGAACATCAAAGGCTAGAGAGACTGCATTGAACAATGATATTGTTAGGTGTAGATGCCCAAGTAATTTAAAATATTACACATTTATTAAACGAGCGTATGCTTGAACTAGTGGTGACTTGCGCGCGAATAAGTAAATAAAATAAGGATGAATAGGAATATCAATGTTGGTGGAAGTAAGATGCTCTCATTGGATGTATCATCACTTTTTACCAACGTACCCATGGTAGAATCCATGGACTACTTCTGTGACGGTATTCGGGACACGAATTAATAGATAGTTATGCACGTGAAAACCCTCAAAGAACTACTAACACGGTGCACACAAGATGTACAATTTCTCTGCAATGGTCGATTTTACAGACAGATAGATTATGTGGCAATGGGCTCACCACTTGGCCCATTTCTCGCAAATGTCTTTATAAGCAAGATCGAGAAAACGATTCTTAGGGACAATATCAACGACCTTGCATTTTACGGTCGATATATGGATGACATCTTCTGTTTGGCCGATTGTAACGCGGAAACTGACGCCCTGGTCGCGAAATTTAACAACGCGAACCTATCTCTCAAATTTACTGCAGAGACGGAGGAGGACGATGAAATTTCATTTCTTGATGTGCTTCTGTGAAGGCAAGATGATCAATCCAGCCTGCGTAGAGTCTTCCGAAAGAAAACCTAAACGGGACAATACACCAACTTTCACAGTTTTGTCCCCCTAAATATAAAACGAAATATAATCCAGGGATTAGCAACTAAAGCACGACAGATCTGCTCTCCCGAAACTGTCGAAGAAGAATTCCAACAGCTGCAGCAAACACTTATTGAAAATGGATACCCGGAGAGGTTCATCCTTAAGAATATTAGCGAGCGGGCCAAAAAGCCTGATACCTCAATCGCAAAAACGAAAGACGTGTTCATAAGACTGCTTTTCATATGCGATGCAACAAGCGAGCCAGTCAGACGACGCATGAGGACCGCAATCGCAAGCGCTTTCCCCGCGGCGAATTTACGGCTGTTCTTCACGAGTTCTCCCCTCCTACGATTGGGGGGTAAACATCGACTCCTGTTGAAGGCCT